GCCTTAAGCGCTTTTTACGTACGCGTAGAGCTGTTTTGGTTAAGCTACTTTTTATCATTTTTTAACTTTTAAATTAGCGGTAACATAAAAGAAGTAATTAATTTTCAAAAAAACCACATTAACTTTTAAATAACGTTATGTAAAGGTATTTATTAAAAAAAAGAATTTTCTTTAAAAATAATTATTGTAACTTTTCATTGCGATATATCTTTCCTTTTTATAGCAATTAATTGACGCTAAACTTTTTATCCAAATATTTAGCAACATGAAAAATTGTTTGTCAATCTTTAACTACAAATTTTTTGCAATGTTTTTAATAAAAAGTAGTAATTTTTTAAAGTTTTTAGTAAAAAAACTTTAAAAAAATCTATATTACATATTTATTAATACAGAATATAAAAGTTTTTTGTAATAATAGATTTTTTATGAATTTTTTACTGAATTTATAATAAAAAAACATTTGCAAAAAAATTTGTAATTAAGAATTGACATTTTTTTTTAATAAAATCTCAAAAAATGTCTTAATATTTTTGTTATCATGATAACAAAAATATCAAGACATTTTTTCGAGATGTTAAAAAAAATGTCTTTGCTTTTCTTATTAGTTTAATAGTATATAGCTTATAGTTAGTTTAATAGTATATAGCTTTTCTTATTAGTTTATTAGTATATAATTTAAGTTATGCGGGGGGAGGGGGTCGGCACAGAAAAAAAAAATTACCTGTTACTCGCAATATTTGAATGAAGACAATTTGTTAAAATTATTGTGCGTGCGATTCAATAAGTTTTTTTTTTCATAAATCAAGTTATAATATAAGGTAAAGAAATCATGAGTAGACTACAACATCCGCTGATGACACTAATATTACGTTGAATATATTTATATAACGGAGGTTTTATTATGCACGCGCACATTACAGGTTCCGCTAAATAAATACTAAGGCACGTTTTAGTTTAATGACAGTCTCCATTTTTTACTAATGATTATGTATTTTTCTTTATAAAACAAAACAAATTAGTATATAAAAACCTTGTATATTTCTATTATCTCTAAATTGTTTAAAGTTCGAATATGGATTGTATTTTGAAGGACAAAAGATTTACTTTAAAAACTTTTAAATCTTGGGACTTTGCCGATGCTTTGCCGATGCGATGATCACAGAAAAAGAGAAGACTTACGTTATTAAAATCAAATGTAAGTTATGTGATCTTCATCAAAATAAAATATTATCCAAAAACAATAGTGCCGTAAGGGCAACTGCCCAACGGTTTATAAATAATACAAGTCATGTTAAAATATTTTAACATGTTACTATATTTTAATTAAGTTGATATATAATTAAAAATAAAAATATAGTTCAATAAATAAATTAACGTTATTCTTAACAAAGATTACCTCATATTTATTCTTTTTTTTATTTTATTAAGTTAAATTGCTTTCAAACGAAAAAAAAAAGAGTTTTGTAATTATACGTAGAATGAAAATACTTTTGAGTTTGTTTATAAGTTAAAGAACTTAATTTTTAATAAACAAATTTTTACGAACGTTTATTATAAACAGATACGATTCAAATTATTAAATATACTTAAATTATTTCAGTTGAGTATTTTTTTAAGTTTGCACGATTAAAGTTTGGCGTAGAAGTATTTGTTTTTTTTTTGTTTTAAGAATAATTAACAAAAGAGTTTGCATAGTTAAGACATTTATATTTAACTTAATTTTTTTTTTAATTTCCTAAAATTAAAAAAAAAAAAGATTTAATCGTTGAAAACGATTTTTCTCTATAGCTTTCTCTATAGCTTTCTCTATAGCTTTCTCTATAGCCTTCTTTGTGATTTGTTTAAAAAGTTAAATATTTTTACAATAACATAAAAAATTTATGAATTAAATTCCTAGCGAACGCGTTCTAAACTACGTATCAAAAATATGCACAAAGCAGACAAAACTTTTTTATATTTTTATAAAACGCAAGTTTGAACGCTTTTAAACGCTTTTGAACGCTTTTAAAAATTTAAAAAATATTTAAAAACTTAAATTTTTCTTTGTTAGTCGAAACAAAATCGTTGTTTAGTAATTAACATGGGTTTGCGTTTATCAATGTTAATATTTTTTGTTTACTCTAGAAATTATTAAAAATAAAAAAAATCATTATTATTTTTTATTCAATAACGATTAAAAACAATTATTCAAAAACAAATTTCAGAAATAATTAATATATATATATATATATATATATATATATATATATATATATATATATATATATATATATATATATATATATATATATATATATATATATATATATATATATATATATATTTTACTAAATAATAATGAACTAAAATTAATAATAAAATAACTATTGAAAACATTACAAAATTTTCATAATAAATTTATATTTAAAACGTTTATAGTTTATATTTAAGTTAATTGTTAAATTGAAATAGTTTGCGGTTATTTATTTATTGCGGTAGTTAAAACACTTAACGTCTATAAAAAAAAATAAAGATAATTTTATGACGTCAAAATCGCGTTAAGCTAATGCGTTAAGCACTTTTTTATTTAAAACAAGGCCTGAAACCTAGAAGTTCTTATTTTAGAAAATAATTCACGAATTTGATAAATTCAATGCATTAAAAAATAAAACTAGATTTCAATTTTGAAATATTTAGTCTTAACATTTTAAGCTAAAGCCTTTAAAAAAACTTAAGCAATTCTTTTCTATGCATACAGTTTTAATAATATGGTGTTAGGTTGTTAATAAATAAAGATCTAATCTAATAAAAATCTAATAAAATAATTTATGACCAAAACTGATGTAAAGTTTTTGAATTAACCTCGCTTTTGGTAATAGAATTATTTTATAGCACTTGAATCAATCTTTTCTCACAAAAAATAAAACGTTTCTTTAAATATACAAATAGCTAATATTAATTGTTTGATAATGTGTTTTTATTCTCATAAAAAACTGTTTTATAATGAGTTGATCCACTATCAAGCAGTAAAACGATCTTTGAACACCCAGTTGATAATAGATTTATGCACTATTCTAAAGAAAAAACCGCCTAATTTTGTTTATTTTATAATTTAAAATTCGTCTGGCTAAGAAAGTTGTTTTCATAAAATTTTTACATATTTGCTTGGGACATACAGAATTTAAGGTCATGTGATTGTTTTGAAATGTAAACAATATTTTGCGCATTAAACTAGAAAAATTTGTTTCTAAACTAGCCAAGTTTAAAAACATATTTCATAACATAGCTAGAGGTACAGCAAACAATTTTTTGATTTTTATATGCAAAAAGGGTTGAAATTTCAATAATTTGGTGCGGATTACAAAAATAATATGACTTTCATTATTTAACAATAAAATTAAAAATATAAATGCATTAAAAAATAGTTAAAAAATAAAAAATAAGCAACCCGCACCAAAAATTAGATAGAATAGACATTTATTTATAAATGTTCCAAATTTCAACCATTAAGGGTGTAGCTATGTTGTGAAATCTTAGTTGACCCAAGTCAGGTTTTCCATAAAAACAGAAAAGTGATCCCAAATCGTTAGCAATATTTAAACATTAATATTTTTATTTTGTTTAATGTAAATATTTATTTAAAAAAAAGATAGGTCTTTTATAATTTTTTTATTTAAAGATGAAAGCGCTTATAGGAAAAAAACACTATTATTTTGAAGTTATGCATTTTAAACTTTTTTTGCGGAAATACTTTTTTTTTTGATAAACACAAAAATAACTGATGTCAAGTAATGTTAGACCTAACCTTGTTAACAACGCTGTTGGAGATTTTCCAAATGTCTCTAAAGCTAAACTTCTGAGATACAAGCCTAACTTTTGAAATATTTTGCTTAGCATTTCAACTCAATTGAAATATTTGAATCAACCCTGAAACAGTTGCAACAACTTTATATAGGACTTTATATTTATAGTTATATAGGAACAACACATAGTTATAAGGACAACAACTTTATATTTATAGTTATATAGAAAAAAAAATGAGAAAAAAAGCAAATGCTTTTGCAAATGATTGCAAACCTATGCTTGCTACAGGTACAAGCAATAAAATTATTTATCTATATTGACAAACACTTTTGAGAGAATTACGTAAGGGTTTAACATGTGGATATTATACAGTCTTCAATAACCTTTCAAATTTAATGACTAAACAAGGTACTAATGTCAAAATTGTACCAAGCTTCTTTTTATTAAAACACTTTCAACTGTTTTTTTTATTTGCAATGTACACAATGAATTATTTATTTGTTCTGAAATAATAACGGCTTTTTCAATAATAAAAAAAAACTATTCAATGCCACTGAACAAAAAAATGCTGTTAAAAGTTTTTAAAAAAAGGGAAAGAAAAAAATAACATTAAAAAATAATAATGAAAAAAAGATTACAACATCTAAATAAAATAATTTTAATATCTGTTATTTATATTATATATTTAGTTATCTGTTATATATTTAGTTAAATTATCTGTTATACATTTAGTTAAATTGTCATTGTATTGACTTTCTAGGACAAAATTCAAATATTTAAATATTAATTTATGATTAAAAACACCACAATACTTTTTTTTTAAAAGCCAGAAAAATAACAAAACCATTTAGATAATTCTTTTTTTTATGAAACTTCATTTTCTACAGCATATATTATATTTTTCCTTCATATATTTTATACAGCATATATTTTGTTATTTCACATTATATTTGCAGATGCAACATCAAGGTAACCTTAATCATATATAGCCTAAGCCAAACAACTCTTTTAACAATTTTTTTTTAACTGTAATAGTCTATTAATAATGATAAAGTTCATTATAACCTGAGCATAGACCAAAATTCACTCTGAAATATTTAATTTTTACAACACAATTCATAATACACATAATGTTCAAATAAAGCTTAAAAGTCCAATGATTGCCAAACCTTATTAAAAAAAAATTATATTAAAAAGAATATTTAAATTCTCCTAACCTCTCCTTTTGTTCGGTGCAATTCTGTTAACTCCTCTTGAAGTTTATATATTTTCAACTCTTTATCACTGTTAAATGAACCATTACTAAATTAAAATTTGAAAAATAGAAACATAAAACAATTAAAATGTGTTTTATTATAATTTACATTTATAAATGTTGATTTTTAAATTAGATTGGGAGAATAATTTGAAAAACTATTTCTTTTGACACTAAAGTTCAGTTGCTGAGTTTAAATTTGAAGTTTTTTTTAACATATGAATTTACCAGACAGGTAAAAAAAATCACAATTACAAGCTTTAGCAAAGACTTTATGTTAAGCAATTTTAAAATTCCAAACCTAAACATTTGTAACTTCAACAAAAGTTCAAGTCTTGAACTTTTGTTTGTTATAGACAATCACTTTACAAAAATCTTTACTTGCTAGAAAATATCTTTTTTGTATGGAACACACGGAGTATTCTTTTGTTTTATATTTTTTCGGTTGTTTATAGAATGTCTTTTGTTTATAGTTAAATAAAAGATTTTTTGGACATTTTTTAGGTTTCCTTGTCCACAATTTTTACAGATACTTATGAATATTTACAGATTTTGCATTGTTCAAACCATCGCTTAAGAGCTAATAGAACACTGTTTGTGCATGTTTGTTAAGCAATTTTTAATATTTAAAAATTGTAGTTCCCCAATTTTTAAATAGAAAAATATGGAAAAGGAAAAAATAGTAATTATAGAAAAGAATTGAATAATTGAAAAGAAAAAAAACCCTCATTTTTCCTAATTCCAAGGGTTGACTATATATATATTAGGGTGTCCCAAAAAACAACTTTTTTAAAAATAATCTGCTCTCACCCCCTAAATGTGTTCTATCTAATACAAAAACACTAAGTTTAAATTTTTTTTTCAATAAAAAATAATTTAAAGGGTCCCTTAAGACCCTCGAATATTTAATGGGTCCCTAATATTTTCAAAAAAAAAGTTTTTAAAAATTATGTCAACCTGGTACTTAAATGAATTGAAATTATATAAAAATTTCAAAAATAATGTTTATTTCGGAAAAAACGATACGTACTTAAACAATACTTTTTTTTTTAATGAAATCTGCGATTTTTTTACAGAAAATTGTTTTTTGTTTTGGCAAATATTTTATATTTTAAGGGAAATATCGTTATGAAGCGAGCCCTCTACCACTACACCACTACCGCATATAAGTGCAAACAAGGGTAGGAAGAAACATCATAAGCACTAACTGTAACAACATAACACTATGTATGTAACTATGTAACAACAACAAAACTGTAACAACAACACAAACTAACCGCTTAAATTGTTCTTCTAAGAACAATTTAGGCGGCTATGAGGATAAGTGCTTTATCCTCAGTGCCCTCAAAATTGGCACTGAGGATAAGGCACTTTACCACTAAGCAATTGAAGATGTATGGTTTTATTAAAAACAAACCATACACATCTTTCATGTCAATTGCAATTAGTCAACATTTTTACAGTGGGTACCTCTAAATAAGCCCAACTTCATTGAATAGCATATGTAAATAATATAATATAAACAAATATTTCATATGCAAATGTAAATTACTGATTGTAACTAAGTAAAAAATAGTAAAAAAAAATTTCCAAAGCTTAAAACTGCTGTTTTAATTTTCTTTATATATTCTTAAAGCGACTACCAAGTCCTGAGACATGATGTGTTCATATTAAAGAGAATGTTAAAAAAAAACATCTTGTCTTCTCATTTTTCTGCGGTATTTGGAGTCTGTAAAATAAACGCGATTTTCCAGGCGCATTATATAGACTTGATTATTTATTTAAGTGCATTTAATTCATAGAAGTTTTAGCACATGACGTCATAGATTTTTTTGTTTGTTTGTTTAAAACACCGATTATTATTTTTTACATGCAGTTTCCAAATCATATTCATTTTTATTATATTTTAAAGTTCTAAAATGTGTTTGTAAAAAAATTAAAAACAAAATAGTATTTTATTTCTGCAACTTTTTTTAAATAATCAAATATATGCGTATAATACCCCTCTTTTGCGTCTAGACCACGTGTATTTTGATTTCTTTTGTTATAATTTTTCCTTTCAAAATATTATATAAAATAATTTTTAACCTAAATAATAATCCATTTTTATTATTTTACTTTGTAAATATTAAAAAAAAAATTATTATCGCATTTTTTTTTCAAAAATGTATTTTTTGGTATTTAGGTGATTTTATTTCATTATTTATATTTCCATTATTATAACAATCAATATATATTATGGCGGGAGCTTAAAAATTAAAAAATTAATATATATTAATTTTTATTTTACGGACATACATAGAAACATAATTAACTTGAATGTTCTTAAAACATCTTGCAGAAGAATAAAAAGAATATTCGCGCTACTAACACTAAAAACCTGCCAAATTTACGAACAAACTAATTCTATTAGTTCAAAAAATACACTGACTAAGCAAAATAAAGTTCTAGAGTATGTGGCCCATGTAGCCACGGCTCTAATAGCTACAAAAAAACATAAAGTTTTTTTCAATGTGAAGATTTTAGAAAATAAAATAACTAACTATAGTTAGCTTTTTAGTAAAATTTATTAGTAAAATTTTTAAAGAATTTCTAGAATATTTCCAATGATGTCATGTACCAAAACTTCTATGAATTAAACGCACTTGAATAAATTATCAAGTCTGTATAATGCGCTTGGAAAATCGTGTTTATTTAACAGACTCCAAATACCCCAGAAAATGGAGAAGACAAGCTTCGACTAAAACAACAAGATTTGTTTTTTTTGGTATACATTTATTAGTTTTAATAAAAATAAATTTGCTCACACGTTTTTTTTTTATTTAATTCTCTTTAATATGAACACAACATGTCTCGGGACTTGGTAGTCCCTTTAAGATAAATTTAGTTTAATAAATAAGACAAATTTAGCATCAAACTGTTGATAAATCAACATTTAGTATAGACTAAAATAAAATTAAATTACTCTATTGAAAAAAATCAATTAAATTAAAATTAAATTTAAAAATAAAAATTAAAAATTAAATTAAATTCTATTTGGATTTTATTTATAAAAAATTTATAATGAAAAAAATCAATTAAATTAAAATAAATTTGAAAATTTTAATTAAAAATTATATTAAATTCTATTTGGATTTTATTAATAAAATTTTTTTTCATTTATCTTCAATAATAAAATCAGGAGGCAAATTTCATTAAGTGCAAACTTCACAAGTGCAATTATGCAAACCTGTGGCATAAGTACAAGAGATTTGTGCAAGTGCAAATCACTGGCATAATTGCGTCCAAAAATTTTGCAAATACAGGGAAAAACTTGCGTAGGTGTAAATCTTTGTAAATGCAAGCAACAAACATTTACATATCAAAAAATATATAAAAAATTAATTTAAATTGATAAATACAGGTACATTTTTTCAAGATTGCACTTATGCAGATTTGGACTTATACAGATTTTGCATAAGATTTTGGTTTTATGCAAAGTTCGCAACTACAATAGTTGCATAATTATGCAGATTCCTAGTTATGAAACTTGCACCTTTGCAACAACTAGGCAGTTGCCCTTGAAAATAATTTTAAAAAATAAAAAAGTGTTTGAATTGTGTACTGGTTTATTTAAAATATTATTTAAAAATATATACTCCAAATTACTTGTGATTCTCTAGCTTAAAGTTTTATCAATATGTTGTTTGTTTGCTTTTTAATCTTTCACTAAGGTTTTAAATCATAAAATTTTTTTTCAAGTTATTTTGTAATCTATGTTAATTTATGTTAAATTTCAAAATAAGTAACATTTTATTTTATAAAGACAAAAATAATATGAAATCAGCTTTTAGTGTTAAATATTCTTTTTCTTCTTCCAAAGGTTTATGCAGTTAGGAGAACTATTTTAAGTTTACTTACACTTTCTAATAGTAGTAAAAAAAATTTGAGACTTTCTTATCTTAATTAAAAACAGTTAAATGATTGGGTATACTTATGACGTATTATAAACTTTCTTATCTTAAGTAAAAACATAAAAAAATTATTGGGTATACTTATGATATATTATAAACGTTGCACTTTACTTTTTAACAATGAAAACTCATGACCAAAGTAATAAATCTCATTGAAAATAAAACTCATTTAACTTTAACTCAATTTTATGTTTTGCCAAAAGCCCTTTTGTGAATTCTCACTTAATGTGTAGGGTCAGCATGACACTGGCTTCTTTCAAATTGAATGGCAACAATAAAATACTTTTCAGCTTTTAAAGTTTGTTTTTTTTAAACTGAAAGCTATTTTGATTTAAACATGGGATTGCATTGCAGTGGTAGAACAATCAAAAAGTTTTGCACCTCAGCTCCTTGACTATACTTGGCTACAGGGAGGTGAATAGAATTTAAAAAAAATAGCTTGGTAAAATAATTTGTTTATTAACTCTATTCCCCTGGACATAAAAAAGATGTAAAAAACTAATTTTAAAAATATTCAAGTTTTTAATTTGTTATCTATTATTAACAATTTTAAACAGCAGTATTTAAAAGAACATACCCTCCAACAGCAATTCTTCCTTGCAACTCCAGAATTTCCTTAAAATAAAATAATATGATACAAAATACACATCTCTCGTATACAATATGTATAGATGTTCTTATTGAGTCTTTCAACTTATATAGAGCTAAATCATTTTTTTTTTTTAATAATTTAGATAAAAGTTAAACTTTTTTTATTAAAAAAAATAACAACAACACCTCATGAGCAACTGCAAAGCTAAATTCCAAAACATTTGAGAAAATCAAAAGAAGTTAAAAATATTTAAAAGTTGACTTTTTTTGTTAAAAAAAAAAGTCAAAACTTTTGACTTAAGATTACATTTTTAAAAGATAAAATTTTGAAACAAAATTTAGGGACTAAACAAAAAGCATAATACTATATGCAGTTAAGAGGAAGAGTCAGTAAAATAGTAAATAGTAAAACTCTGTCAGTAAAATAGTATATAGTAAAGGTCAGTCAGTAAAATATTAAATATTAAAAGTCAGTAAAAGTCAGTCAGTAAAAGAGTAAATAGTAAAAGTCAGTCAGTAAAATAGTAAATAGTAAAAGTCAGTCAGTAAAATAGTAAATAGTAAAAGTCAGACAGTAAAATAGTAAATAGTAAAAATCAGTCAGTAAAATAGTAAATTGTAAAAGTCAGTCAGTAAAATGCATATGTGTATTGGTAGGGAAAACCAAAAATACAAGATACTTTTTAAAATTTAACATTCTTTTTTTAAAAGCAAAAAAGTTTTTAAATACAAAATTTAATATTTTGCTCGTGAGTATTTTGTGAGTATATTAGAATCAATTTAAAAAAAGAAAGTAATTAAAACTAAATTGCATTAATTGATTCTATTAAAAAGAACATAAACAGCTGAATAAACGCATCAGTGAATTGAGTTTATAGTAAACTTTATTGAAAAAAATAATTTACCAAAAAGTTTTTAAAAAGTCACCTGTTTAAGTTGGTATGTTTGCAACTCAAGTTCAGAATTTCTTAATTTGTAAACACTGAAGCCTCGTAGTAATTCTCCATCTATAAAAAGTAATAAATAAATTACTAATATCTAGTTTTCTAAACTAAATTTTCTTTAATACAATTTCAAAATGTTACTTATGTAACCATTTTGAGTAACTTGTCAAAATGATTACAAAAGAGGGGTATTAAAGACAGCAAGTATATACGCATATATTTGATTATCTCTTGTTCTTTACTTCTCCTTAAACTTGATTTTTTTAAATCAAAATTTCACAAGTTTAAAAAATCAGCCATATGTTATGTAACAGAGCTGTCGTTCCCATTTCAAGTGTCATTTTAATGTTTCATTTCGTTCCCATATCGAGTGATCTTTATTAGCACCCACGTTTGAAAATTTCAAAGGGCAAAACATTGCCATGATTATATTATTAGAATTAAGGTTGTGAAGCTGATTACACATTTAAAATCCCCCACTGCCATCATAACGAAATTTGATTCTGATGTGACAAGTACATTTTAGAGAAATCGGGGACACTCTGGTAGACTCTGTAAAGAAATAAAGTTATTAATAACATTTAGCTCAGGAATGGTTATTATTCTCAGAGGAGTAGTAAAATTTAAAGTCTTCAACTATTTGCCAGCTTTGGTAAATAATTTTATTGTTAGCTTTTAGTGTTTTCTTCAGCTGCCTGTATCTTGACCCAATGGTGAATCACAGCAGATTGATTTTACAAACCACATACTTAGGAAACTATAAATTTCTTTAAATTAATATAATTTGATTTCACAAATTTCAGTAATATTTTTTTTCTATTTTTCAAATTTTTGACTTTCAAAAGATATTATTGCAGTTATTTACTTTCTTTGTGTACCATTCTCTAAGTTGTAGACGCTATCTTATCTTCATTAAAAATGAGGGCGAAATCTAATTAGGTAATGATTAATAAAAATTCAATTCAATATTATGTGGTTATATTACATAAAATGGTAGAGTATTCTTTAATGACAAGTTGATTGTAATTTAAGTATATTTAAGTAGATTGTAATTTAAGCTTTTTAATTGATAATTATTATAAATATTTTTGTACAGTTTAAGTGTAATTATAACTTATACAAGGGGTGAAGGGGTGTTAAAAACAGTAAGTACATACACATATATTTAATTATCTCTCATTCCTTATTCTACTAAAACTTAATTATTTTTTTAAAACAAAAACATTAAACTTCATAAGTTATAAAATTTTAATAGTTATTTTAGAGGTTTTTAAATTTTCAGTAGAATTTGTAAGAGACAAGTTCTTATTGAGTTAAAAAAGAAAATCTTCTTTATTTTAATGTTGTGTTTATGCAAGAAAATTACATATGACCTATATTAAAAAGCAGTGATCATTATATTAAAGATAACTTTTTTCACAAGTGCAGTATTATCTAAATTAATTGAAAAATATGCTTATGAAAAAATGTGCATTCTTCAAGAAGTCTGCGAGGTTAGGTTTAAGTTGTGAACCAGTGATTATTGGTCTGTGCATGGCAAGGAGGGATAGCTGATTCAAGTTCTTTAGCGATGGGTGTTGTTATTCTTTTCTTTTTTTATGTTAATTTACCTCCTCAAGGTCATGAAAGCCTCAACAGTTAAGGAGGCTACTTTAATTTTAGTTACAACCCTCTTCTAACTCAATAACTCCGAAACACGAACCTTGACAAACAAGGTCGCTGTGCAAAGAAACAAGTTGAGCACAGTGACATGGTACATCAATGTGCCCTACTAGGGACGCAGTATTTAAATTGGTAATACAATTGTGGAAGTCAAAATATGGTTGCAAAAAGAAAGATCTAACATTCATATAAACATGGCAGAGTTAGATGTGGTGATGCAGGGAATAAATATGCCTTGGGTGTGGAATGTGGAGAAAGTGATAATTTTTACTGATTCTGTGACAGTGTTCCGCTGGTATTCTGATGCTGGTATTCTGATAAAGTTGATGTAAATATTGTATGTTCGGAAGATAACTTAGCTGACGCATTAACAAATAAAGAATGCATTTTAGCAAAAACTGTCAAGTTCCTGCAGAAGTATTGCCATAGTTTGAATTCCCTGTCTTATCTTTTGTGAAAAAGGAGTGCCATCTGAAATATTGACAGACCAGAAAACATTTAAGACTTTTGAAATGAGAAATTTCCTTGATAGTTTATAATTACCCTGAAGGAAACAAAATTATAGAAAGAAACTATCACACAATAAAAAGAATAGCAAGAAAACCAATAACCGAAGCAGCTGATGCTTCGGTTATTGGTTATTCGGTTACAGACACAATGTTGCTGTTGACAAAAATGACATAATTTCAATAGAAAAAATATATGGTTACCAAATTGGTTTCAAGAGATTAAGAAAAAGAAATCTTTTGGCAAAAAATTGAAAAAAACTTAAAACTGGTAATAAAGTTTGGTTAAAACCACCTAGTACCAAGCGGAAGCCAGAGTGAAGAACCAAAAATGTTTCACAACAAATTGTAGAAGTGGATGGAGTTCCGCGTTATATGAAATACATCAGACCTCAAAAGGGGGAAAATTGTGAAAAGATTGTGGAAAACATTGAAGACCAAAGTAAAGATGTTTCTGAAGCAAGCAAAGAGCATTTTGAAGCTAAGAATAGTTTTTAAGAAACACATGTGCTTTAATGCCTATAAATATATATTAATTACTGTTTGTATGACTCTTTATGGGTCAAGGGAGAGTGCGATTATATTACATAATATGCTAGAATATTCATTGATAAAAAGTAGATTGCAATTTAAGTGTAGAGTATATATAAGTAAGTTATAATTTGTAAAGCTTTTTAATTAATTTAAATAAAATTATAAATAATATTTTTTATTATTTTTGTCTCGCCAAAGTGCTTATTCTTATAAATATTTAAGGGCTTCTTTGTAAATCCTGAGATGGTTTTCAAAAAACCTTTTTTTAGGAAGCTGAATTGCCTAAATGTAAACCAACTTAGAATGTTGATAAAGGTTTTTAATATCTTCTAAACACTGTAAAAAATGTTGGTGATATTTTTGACATTGTCCATGTTGGTGATATATTGACTATATCCATGTTGCCAAATGTTGGCAATGACAATGTTGGTTTTATTTAATAAATGATATATGTTGATGTATTGACAAATGTATTGATAAAGTCCATGTTGACTTCGCCCAGCTTATCTGATGTATATAAGATCTAAAATTAACATTTATTTTAAATTAAAATACAAAAATAAGATACAAAACAAATTTTATATTTAATATAACTTTATATTAAATATAAAATTTTATATTTAATATAAAATTATATTTCATTTTAGTGTCAATGGTAATTTTAGCTACCTCTTCTTATACCTTGTATAATATTAATAAAATATTTTAATATAAAATAATATAATATAAAAAATAATATAATATAATAATAATATAAAAAAATAATATAATATAAAAAATTTATAAAAAGCTAAACATTTGCCATAAGCCTATAATTTATCTGAGTCACATATGATCTTTTCTCAAAAAGCTATACAAATTTTTTTACAAAACTGCCCAAACAAAAACACTGTGGTGAGATTAGTAGAGGCAACGGCCCCATGAATACTAAAATGAAATTTTTTTAAACAAGTTTAATAACTGTTTTGTAGCGTAAAGGACTTAATAAATGAAACTAAACAAAAATTTTGTTAATAAGATGACAATACATTGCACTTATGAAAACCATATTATTTAATAAATTAGCAGTATAATTTGTTAAACTAAAAACTAAAAAGTTTTAAATGTAAAATGGTAATAGCCCCTGCTATAGCAGATCAGATATAAGAGGCTTAGATAATTTTTCCATAAAATATATTTTTTACTTGTACAGTTACACTTATATAGATAAAATTTGCTATCTCACAGATCTAGCTATCTTGGGATAATATTAGTTGGTGAAAAAATTTTTTTAACATTTTACTGCAATTATTAGCTGAATATAATTTCAACTTGTAAACTTTATATACTTCATGCATAAACCTGATAAAAATATGAATTAAATTAACAAATTAGATGAATCTTTGGAACAAAATTTAGTTCCCCTTTGGATCAATGCTAGTTTGTTAAGTATATTGAGGTTAAGTTTTTCCTTCTAAGGGTCCTGATGTTATCGAAAATAACTTCGCCGCAAACATAAATAAAAAACTTATTTAAAGGTTAAAAACCTATAACATTTTCTAATCAATCTGTAGATATTAATTTTAAGTTTTTGATAATTTTTTTTTGTCAATAGTTGTCAAAAGCTGCTTTTTATTATAAGAATAACTTTAGAAAACGAACACCAAAAGCCACAGAAAGTTGTGTTTTTTTTGTAAGATAACGATTATAAACTATAACTTTAATACGTTTATATAATTTTTTTTTTTTACCAGAACAGTTTATTTACTTTTAGTTTTAATGAAGTACTTGATTACGAACAAAATGATATCACATCGTTAGAAAACAAACGCTTTATAATAAAAAAACTTACGCGAATTTATTAATTCTTGGAAAGGATTTGCTTCTTTGATCTTCCTTTTTTCAAGTTGCTCTAAAATATTTTTTCTCCAGTCCTGCAATTCAGTTGCCATCTTGATCTTTAAAGTTTCATTTATATTATTTTTAAAGTTACATTTATATGGTATATCAAGATATACTTATTTATACTTCTTGCCCTCGTTGATTCATAACTTTTGCAAATCAGAGTCCAAAAATAAAAGCAATTTTGTTACATAAAAAAAATCGTTTTACTCTAACATTTTAATGTAATTCGATAATATTAACGTAAATTTGCGAGCGATAAATAAGCGGACTCAACGTAACCGCAAAAATTATGACAGCAGAGTTAATAGTGGAGACACACGTAAGATTTGCTAGTTATCTGATCTGGTACAAGCACGAAACTTGATGGAAATACAAACCTAGACAAACACTTGAGGAATAACTTGTTGTTGTTTTTATGTTCTTTATTACAATATTTATTCTTATAAGAAATAAAATCACAGTTAGAAATTTCGTTAAAAGTAGTAAAACTTTAACAATATTTAAAAAAAAAAGAACGCGCACACTTGAAGAAGACCATTTGGTCTTGTCACCAAGAACTAGCGGTTCTTAGTGTCAAGATCTAATAGTCTTTTTCGAGTGTTTAAATTAAACTAAATTAAACGTGATAAATAAAATGATTGTTAATAACTTTTAATTTATTAAAATAGATTATAAATGATATTATAATTGATAACATTTTAAAACAAGTTCTTTAAGTTCTCTTTTTCTAAATATATGTAGATTAACATTATCTTAAAATAGACATTATTATTAAAACAGTCTATTAGAATAAATTTGTTTCTGTTTATAATTACTACTAATTTTATTGAAACTGATATTGGTCAGATTAGCTAAAACCCCATAACAAATATATAATGTTAAAAATAATAATAGTCAGAATTCTTAATTTTAAATTATTTCTTCATTTTTGTAGAAAATGAAGAAATAACTTAAATTGTAGCATGATCCGTACTAAAAAGCCATAATTTTAGTAGAATTTTAAATTAAACTAAACTGGTTTGGAGTTTTGGTGTTTTGTGGTATTTTGTTGGGACTTTGTGCTTTTGGTAATTGCCGAGTTTTCAGTAATTGGTTTGGTTTTCCTATTCCAGTAAATATTCCGCATAGTTCTTCTAATTCATATAGTATCCAAATAGCTCAACCATTTTTAAAAAGCGTAAGTAGATAACTCTTAAATTCAAAAATTAGTTGCAGATAACATATAATTAGTAGGCTGCATTCAACTCTCAATATTGCAAAACATATTACAATAAGCTTCCCGTAAAAAAAAAATATATATAAATATATATATATATATATATATATATATATATATATATATATATAATATATATATATATATATATATATATATATATATATATATATATATATATATATATATATATATATATTTATATATATATTTTTTTTTACGGGAAGCTTATTGTAATATGTTTTGCAATATTGAGAGTTGAATGCAGCCTACTAATTATATGTTATCTGCAACTAATTTTTGAATTTAAGAGTTATCTACTTACGCTTTATATATATATATATATATATATATAATATATATATATATATATATATATATATATATATATATATATATATATATATATATATATATATATATATATATATATATATATATATATATATATATATATATATATATATATATATATATATATATATATATATATATATATATATATATATATATACAAACATACATACATACATATATACACAAAAATTAAGATTTGTCTAGGTTCTAAAAGTATATAAGTATATTTTCAGTGGAAAAATGATTTTTCTAAAATTTTGTTTAAAAGAATCAAACTTAGGTTCTTGAGAAATGTCTTTATTAGTATTTAAAACTATATTATTCCATAAAAATGTTCTGCGAAATGAAACAAACCCACCGAAAAAATGTTCTGCGAAATGAAACAAATAACCGAAAAAAATTGTCTTACTTTTGATTCCATTCTCTTTTTATCCCTGTATCTTTTTATCCAAATCTCTTTTTAAGTATCAGTATCTTTTTAAGTATCAGTATCTTTTTAAGTATCAATATCTTTTTAAGTATCAGTATCTTTTTATCCAAATCTCTTTTTAATCCCTGTATGAGTGACTGCTTTCATTTCTGTATTTTTTTTTCTTGTGCTAGAAACCTAGTCAATGCAACAATATATTTTACTTCGTTGCACAATTGAACCCGTCATTTCGAAAAGGGCACAAGTCCATTTATTCAAACTTTTCATGATCAACAAAAATAACTTTATTAGAAAAAAAGTCTATGGTACTAAAGAAACTAAAGATAACAGTAGATATATAAAAGTTATACATAAGTTTTTAGAGTTTTATTTGTTATAAAAAAATAATATATAACACATATATTTCTAATTTAAATTTATGGACTTATGTCTTTTTTGGAATGAACACTTTTTTGTATATAAAAAACCAAAGATTATCAGAATAATAATGATTTAGTATTACACAAAAACATTTATTGTGAGGTAATCATCAATTATTTCTTGGAATTCATTGCTTGCCGAAGTTGTTGGCGAAGCAAAAACCTTTGTATAGAAGTTTTGGTACTCTTCTATTGAATATGGAATATATTTTTTCATATTTTTTTCAAATCTGATATATTTTTTTCATTGATAGGTAATTTTCCATCATATGCAGGAGTACTACTTAATGGTAGGGTTGACCGGGTACCCATCCTTTGTAATAGCTGGAAATTACAACTGACTTAGCAATCTATGGATTCACATGTTTTCACTAAACCTGCTGTGGTATAAGAGAATGTGAAATGTGAAATTTTAGAAATTCCAAAAGTAAATTTTTTGTCCTTGGATACTCCTTTTTTATAGGAATCCACAGATAGCACAAGTTTCTTATAATGGTTTAGCCACCATTTTTTTACATCGTTGGTGTGTAAATCCGATCTTTTTTGTGAATGTCGTTTTGCTGTTCCAAACATTCTATCGTTTGGCAAGAATGAGTGACCTCTTTTTGGTATGTAATATTGTATCTCATTTATATTGCTATCTAGTTCAGCTACCAGTGATAAAAGTATTCG